ACATCTGTTGCTACAGGAAGTAAAAGTGAAAAGGAATTAAAAACATTTAAGCCAAAATCGATATTAAAACCTCCAAAAACTTTAGACCTAAGCACAATTGCCTCAAGAGTATCAACAAGAAGGGCAACACAAACCAGAACAAAAATAATAGAAAAACCAACGGAAAGTGAGAATTCCGAGGACGTTGATTTTGAAAACATTAATCCCCCTATTCAAAAGGCTAGTAGAAGTACACTTCCTAGTTTAAAACTTCCACCAGCTGCATTAAAACTTCCCCCTGGACCAAAAAGTGCACCTCCACAATTACCTATTAAAAATGATTTGATTCTACAGCAAGAAATGGAGCTCATAACTAACATAGAGCCACCAATGAATATAACTGAAGAAAGTTCTGAAGTAGAAGAAAGAAATGCATTACAATTAACTAAAACCAAAATTGCAGAAAATTTAGAACAATCGATATCACGATTTAATGATTCTTTAGCACAGCATAAAGATTGGTTAGCAGATACCTCTTTATCACCCAGAAATTGGCGAACTTATTCCGATGGAGATGATGATGAAGCTATACATAAAGCAGCTAATGAATGTATTACAGGAGATCATGCTGAATTTTCAGAAAAATTAGATTTCTATTGGGATTATGCTAAAGGTGAATCCATATGGCAGGACAATAAACAAGAAATACTCCAAAATTCTGACTCAGAAAAGGACGACATGAATCAAGAAGAATTAGAAATTTATGATTCAGAATATGAAGATTCAACTAATAATGAAGACATAATAGAAGAGATGTACTTTCAAACGCCACTGAAACGAAGAAAAAGAAAGTTTAAAAAAAGAAAAGTAACTTTCAAACCATATTTACAGGAAATAAACACACCTATGCAATACAACAACCCTACGGCAGTATCTACACCTTATTATAATTCAAATAAAGAAACAGATTCTGAGGAGGAAATGATAGAAGTAGAAGAAAAGGAAGATACAAAGAAAACATGTAATAAATCGAAAATTAAAACATCATTATCGAGTATTCCTCCAGAAATACCTATAAATTATTCCAAAATAAAAGCAAGAAATTCTAATATAACGAGCAGCAGAGAAAACCTAACATATAATCGAAGTAATTATATTCATTTCTTGTCAGCAGATTGCGAATTCATTTCACCTATAAGTAGACTTTTAATAGATATAGGAGTAATAGATCCCGAAGAAATGAAATCTAAAAATCCTATTAAAGGACAAATATTTGTAACGCCACGAGGAAAAAACAAAATTTACACCTTAATAATAAAAGACAATCATTTTGATCCTTTAATAAAAGAAGATATCATTGCAGGAATACGTAATTTAAAAAGTCTTCTTTACCACGAAAAAACAAGAAATAAGAATATCTAGGCATGGAGACTTTACCGATGAGTTACCTAGAGGAGAGTTAATACAAATAATCAATTCTATTTTTGAAAACAGTAACATTAAAATTACTATTTGTCATGGACAAGTTGTAGTACCTAAAGAAGAAATTAGAAACGATATTATCAGCGAATACCACAAAAGCAAAATAGCAGGACATAAAGGCATTACAAAAACATATAGAAGAATAAGAGAAAGATTTTATTGGCCTCGAATGAAAGATGAAATAACGGAATTTGTAAGAAAATGTATACATTTTCTTACATGCCAATCTCAAAAACTTGTAAGTATTAAAACCCGAGAACCAATGCTTATTACTGATACTCCTTTAGACGTTTTTGATAAAGTTGCTCTTGACACTGTAGGTAAATTACCAACAACCCCAGATGGAAATTGTCATATCCTAACTATGCAAGATCATTTATCTAAATACTGCATAGCTGTTGCAATACTTGATATTTCTGCAACCACAATCGCTCATACTGTTGCAAAAGAATTATTTTCAGTATATGGAGCACCAAAAGTAATATTAACTGACAAAGGTACCTCATTTATAGGAAAGTTAATGTCTAAATTATCAAAATTATTTGAAGTACAACAAGTCACAACATCAGGTTATAGGCCTCAAACAAATGGATCTTTAGAACGAAGTCACGCTGTTTTAGCAGATTATATAAAACAATATGCTAAAGATTATGATGATTGGGATCGATTACTTCCTTTTGCTATGTTTGCATATAATACTTCAGTACATGAAGCTACTAATTTCTCTCCATATGAGTTAGTTTTCGGTAAAATAGCCCGTACTCCTAGCTCATTTCCTGAGCAAGAAAAACTAGAAACATATGGCTCATACTTATCAGAATTAATAACCAGATTAAATGAAATTCGAATCTTAGCAGCAAATAATTTAATAAATGCTAAATTAAAATCAAAAGAAAATTATGATAAACTAATGAAACCATTTTTAGGAAAAGTAGGAGATAAAGCTTATGTAATAAAAGAAGGAATGAAAAGAAAATTCGATCCTTGTTATCATGGTCCATACAGAATTGTGGCTATATTGGATAAAAATAATGTAATATTAATAAATGAAGATGGACAAAGGTTTCAAAAACATGTAGATAAGTTAAAAATTGCTTATGAATAGGTTAATAACATAATTTTCCTGTTTTAGATGACTGAATCATTCCTATTCACTGCACCTCTACAAGGAGAATTAATTGGAGCTTTCATTTTCCCAAAAGGGGATATTTCATCAATTGCTTACCCTAAGGGAATTCTTGAGGAACTAACTGCCGAATATAATCTTAATAAACCCATTTATATTATAGAACCGGGCACAGGCCCTTCATATAAAAAACCCTGACAAGTTAGGTGTACTGTGACAGACTCTAAAAATAATAATACCTTCATTGTACTAGGGGACGGATGTTGCAAAGTTAGAGACTCTGAGCATTCAGCAGCTCGAAAGATTCTAGAACATTTAAATAAGATTTACTACTTTAGTGAAGAAGAAAAACCAAAAATGATCACCAATTCGACATATGTAATGTCAAGACAAGAACCAACAATAATAAAATTAAGAAAATTAAAAGAAAATCAACCAAACGTATAAAAAACCAAGAAATATCAAACAATTTTGGCCTCAACACACATTGAGGACAATGTGAAATCTAAAGAGGGAAGACAGTTATCAAAATCAGAAAAATTTTGAAAATTTTAAGACTATAAAATAACAAGAACATTGTGAAGCATCCTTTATAGACGTAGAACGACGCAGCAGCAGCAACGTAAAACAGCCTTAAAGCTTACGCATCGATCACATACATCGACCGGAGAGTGAAGCTATTCTCCAAGTGCGCATGTTGCACAGCGATGGCCGCCTGCTGGATGCATGCAAACCATTAACACCACTGCCAATACCTCCAGCTTCTATTCACGTATGCCTATAATACTCATCATTAAATAGCGGCAAAATAATTTGAATTTAAAATTTACACTGCTATTAAATGATGAAGAATAAATCATATATATATTTTTTTTACCTATATAAAATAATAAAACTAAACCATTAATAATTAATAAATTATACATATATCATGCCTTATTATATTATCAATTGCTATTAATTAATTAATAAATAAACAATAAAACAATGCATTTATGTGTGCACATATATATTAATTATTATATGCATTTATATATGCTTGTTTACATGAAAATATAATCAAATAAATAATAGAAGCATTGTTAATTTTATTGTTATTATGTTGAATTAATATTACATAATTAAAATTCACCATATTGTAATTAATAAAATAATAAGTTTGATGATTTAAAGAAAAAGTGACAGTAAAGATTAAGATAAATAATAATGATTTGTTATTAAAATTTTCAACATATTTTACATCAATAAAGTTAATAATAATAAATAAACTAATTTTAGTTATCATTAGCTAACAAATTTATATAAAAAAAAAAATAAAACGCTTCAATTATAATGAAACTAAGTCTAACATATTGAAATATATTAACATAAAATTTTTAAATTAATAAACAATTATAAATAAAGCAAAAATAAAGGCTTCGAGTTGAGCCTTGAGTATCAGGCAAGCATGAGAATGGGGGAAGGTACTCGTTGCGCGGAGGAGTGGCAAGGCCCACGCCTCCCGCTAGCCTCCCGCGCGCTGGGTCCCACGCCTTCCTTCTCATGCCAAGCGACGGCCGAGTAGCTAGACTCGCCATCTTGTCGCACCGTGTATGGCTGTCATAGCGTACTCGCGGAACCTACCTCCGTGCGCATTCTAGTTCCCTAACACTAAAAACGAATGTTTCGCGTTGGATTCATCGATTTAATCGATAGATCGATGGACCCAACACCTAATAATATTATTCAAAATTCTATATGCCTAAAACTATATATTGAAAATTATAAATAGTGAAATTATTAATACAGCAATTCTGTATGTATGTATATATCTTTGTATATGTGAGTATGCATGTATTTCTACGCATACAACTATCTACGATTAAAAAATTTTTATATATTAATAATCAAATTGTTAGCATTATTATTAAATTAATTACTTTAATTATTAAAAAAAAAATTTATTTTAGATAGATTTAAAATTCAAAAACTTATCATTTATTAAAATTTTATTAAACAATATATCAAAAGATTAAAAAATATAAGGGATAGAATAGAAAGACAAGGACGGTGAAATAAAATTTCAAAATTTTTATAAAAATGAAAAAATTTTATTAAAACATTCACTCATTCACACTACAAAGTAAATTCACCCACACACACATACACACATTCAAAAAAAAATATTTTTTAATTAAATTAAAAATAAACTTAAATATAACGCACACACACACACTCACTCAATTGCTCTACAATACACACAAAAAAAGGGTTATTCTTATAAAAATTATCATAACGCACTCAAAATCTAAAATATTGTATTAATTAAATTTAAAATAATCTTAAATATAATTGTTTACGAATACACACACATTATAAAAAACACGTTTCACACACAAGGCTAATTTTAATGGATCTTCCTCTGGTTCTGGAATCATAGGATGTGGCTCAGCAGATGGGCTAGGACAAGGTTCCAATTTTGGGCCAGATTGTGGCTGCCAAGAGGATTCTGTCCATGGTTGCCAAAGTTGGTCGGGCTGAGATTGTCGAGACGGGCCTGGCTGAGGTTGCCAAGATGGGCCGGTTTGTGGCTGGAAAGAAGGGCCAGGTTGTGGATCGATTGTTTCCATAGCTCCTTCCTGTAGCCATACCATGGCCCTGGTCCCTCTCCCTTGTCTATAACATAAAAGGAAAAATAGTAAACAAAACATATTATAATTAAAAATATCAAAAAAACAAAAAAACAAACAAAATATATATATATATATATATATAAGTAATAATATAAAATGAAGAATGAGCTTACCAACTTCCATGGAAACTCGCGCCCTTTTGGCCGGAGGAAGAGGAATTTCGCATTCGCCACAAAAACAGCCTATGGGACGAGCTGGTCGACTAAAAAAAAAATATATATATATATAAGAGAGAAAAGATTAAATGCCATAATAACATTGACAAAAAAAAATACTCACAATAAGGAATTAAACATCGATGTCATTGTCCCAGAGTTTTCCTTTATTTCCTCCTTTAATCCTCTCAACTGCCTCAATCTGACCTTCTTGTCAATTGTTGTGTCCCTTATAACCCCTTTTTTGGGTCGACCTGGCCGCGCCATCTCCTCCAAAAACTCCATTTCCTCCACGGAGTAGTAAACGGACGCCGCAAGGCCCTGCAGCGTCAGGAAAAAGTTCACTAAATTTGACTTGCATTCCTTTCCGGGCACTAAAAGAAAATAAAAGGGGAGAAATAAATTAAAAGAACTATTATGACAAAATGTATCACATTAATTAACACAACACTACTTAAGAAGTCACTCACTTTTGTTGGACGACGACTGATTTTCCATGATAATTGCGTGCAAACTGACAAGATCTTCTTACCTCCTGCATCTTAAAGGGATGAAAAGTGCTGATCTAAACAATTATGATACACGCACACAACAAACAAGAGGTCATTAACTGTACCACGAAAGAAGAAATTCATACCTACCTCAAGAAGATAGCCATAACACTTTGAATGCACAAACACGCATCACAACATTGTAGATTCATTTTGATGTCATTTCACCATTCTTGTCATCATAATAGCTACTACAGATAAGCTCAAGGGATATCAATGTCACAATGAATGTAGGTCAGTAAGCGTAAGGACTATTAAAAGATAGTCTCAATTTCAAAAATTCCAGTCTTATAATCATGTATCTGCGACAACTGGAATTAATTTCATCGGGACGATGAAAAATCTAAGGGGGGGAGACTGTTACATCCCGGTAACAATTTTCCTTAATTTTCCTTAAAATTATCATTAAAATAAGACATTTTATATAATTCTATGATAATTTTACAATACTTAAACTATATGTCTTATTTTAATGTATTTATTTATGTATATATTGATAGGATAGAGTGTGGAAACGAAATCGATCTCAAAAGAGATATGACATTCGTTTTCACCATAAAAGTTCAGAAAGTTGAAAAGCTAAAAATAGGATATATGTAAGCAAAATGTGAAGCAAGTTCGAGCTTGTTTGTTTATACGCGTGAAAAATGTGAAGGTTGTGAAGATCCAAGTGTAATATGATCTTCAAAAGCCCATTGTCAGCAAATAAAAGAGAGAATTCAGAAAGAAGAAGATTCAATGTCATACATGCGATGTAGATCATTACCATATAAGGAAAGTGATTCTATTTATAGATCACCCCTTCCTCAATAATATGACAATTCTCCCACTAATTAGCATAATCGACTAGTATATAAACAAGAGCTTTTTCCATAAAGCTTGTCAAAAGTTCCGGTGCAATCTCTAACATCGTAGAGCGACCCTTCAGTTTACTTTCGCCCTAATTATTGTATTCTTTCCTGATAGCCAATAGGTGCAAGTTAACTTGACTTTTCACTTAGAACATAGTTCTTTCCTGATAGCCAATAGGTGCAAGAGAAGCAAATTAACACTTAGAATCAATAATTTAATAGAAATAACTGTCGTATTTATAACTAAAAATACTAAAGAAATCCTGCATTATCTCGTTTTCTAAATTTGTCAATTTAGTATATGTTGCTTCTCTTACACCTGCTATATAATTCATTCCTGTCAAAGGTGCGAGTGACGAGAAATAACAATAAAGAATATTGCAATTCTTTAAATAGTTATAAAACAATTTAAGTCGTTAAAGTTACACAAGTGCAACCAAAACGAACTATTTCAAGTCAAATCAAAACCAATTTATAACGACTAAGCTATAATCATCGATTTATCCGACTTCATTGCTAAAAGTAAGTAAACGAATTGTAAACTTGTATCATTATTGTTTAATCATTACTATATAATTATTATTAAATCAATAAATGTTATAAAAGGGAATATTTGACTTGTTATTGTAACGCAAAACCCGTAGTTTTGACAAGTGACCACGATCCTACATGAAAATAAATATCAGGCTTTACCAACCTGATTAATCAGCCTTATTACCTTCAAGTAAATAAAATTCATTTTTATTTAAAAACCACGCCTAGTTCGGAACGTAACACCCGCATTGATCAGGTTTTGGACAGTGAAAGTGGGACATATGTTCCCAAAAGGGTTTATGACACTTATCAATATGTCCCCATTATAAATGTTTTATCTACAGTTTTATCGAATAAAGAAATTAAGGATGCCATTTTAGCTGAAAAACCTTCAGAGGAAGGAATTTTAAGTTCTTTTATTGATGGTGAAACTTTCAAGCAGCATCCATTTTTTCAAAAATATAAACACGCTTTGCGAATTAAACTATATAATGATGACTTAGACATAGTAAATGTCGTAGGATCAAAAACAGGACCACATAAACTCGGTGTATGGTACTACACTATAGACAATATCCCTGAACATCTCAATTCACGACTTGGTAGCAAACACGTGTTGTGCGTCTATTACGCACTTGACGCGAAGAAATATGGTCACAACCGTATTTTGGAAAGATTTTTAGAGGACTTGAAAAACTTAAAAAGTGACGAAGGAGTAAAAATCGATTTAAATGGTGAAGGATTCATTCTGCGAGCTAGCATTTGTAATCTTTGCGCGGATACGTTGGCAGCTCATGACGTAAGTGGACTTCTTGGTCCCGCAGCAAATCTATTTTGCAGAGAATGTTTAATACATAGGAGAGATTTATTAGCAGGAAATTTAGAACCAGTACAAGAAAGAACGCAATACGTTTTTAACCATCACCTCCACTTGCTTATGAATGCTGGACCTACAATTAATGCTATCCGCAACGTTCAAACTGAGACTGGAGTTCAAGGCGATTGTCCGCTGAATCATTCTAAATTTTTCCACATTTCGAGAAATAAAACTTTTGATATCATGCACGACATTCTTCTTGGAGTAGGACCCATGATCTTAAAGCTTATTTTGTTTTATTTCATTTTCGTTCGCAATCGATTTACCGTTCAATGTTTTAACAACTTGATAGCATCATTTAATTATGGAATAATGGAGAAAAAGAATAAACCATCAGCCAACTTCAACGAGGCTTCAATTCGAAACGTGAACGAAAACAATTTAAATCAAACGGCTATGCAAATGTGGTGTCTCCTGCGCGTTTTTCCTTTCCTAATAGCTGGTCATGTTCAGGATGAAGAAGACAGAAACCACATGAACTTGATTCTCATTCTTTTACGAATTATGGAAATTATCTTCGCCCCAAAATTGTCAAAAAGCTTAATGCCGTATCTTCGAGCATTAATTACAGATTTAGTTAGTCTGTTTAAAGAATTATTTCCAGAGAAAAACATTATAAATAAGATGCATCATATGAAGCATTATATGGATTGTATCGAATTCTCTGGTCCTCTTTTAAAGCAATGGTGCATGGGTTTTGAGCGAAAACACGGTCCAATGAAACAACGAGCTCAGGTCGTAAACAATTTTAAAAACGCCCCTAAAACTCTTATTAAAATATGCCAGAGTGCTCAAAGTGCTATGTGGGGAGCTGGAGATTTAAAGCTTCACAGTATCAAAAGTCAAGGAGGTAAAAATACTCGAGTTGAGTTAACATTAAGTAATCAAGAATTGAGAAATCTTGGATATTCCGACAATGATATTGTCTTTAAAACCAAATGCGTAAAAGAAAATGGTGCAAAGTATGCGCTCGGATTATTTGTCTGCCTGTATGCGAAAGGAGGCACAGATATCAATCTTCCGATATTTGGAAAAATTTCAGAGATTATTATTGTACAGGAATCGAAAGTGTTTCTTAAAGTTGTCATATATTCAACATCGCATTTAGATCAGGAAGTTAATGCTTATTCTATTGAAATCGATGAAAATAACTGTACCACAAAATTTATTTGCACAACACAACTTGCGCATTACCGGTGCTTCTCTGCGTGGACAAAATCTACCTCTCAAGAGCAATTCATCAGCTTTCGTCATATTCTTCTTTAAATGTTTACATAAATGAAGTTCTATATTTCCTACAAATAAAAAAGGAATACGAAGGTTAAAATCTTTTGCTTCACAGTAAAATTGAAAATAAAATTTTTTTACTTCTAATGGTAAACTTCAATAATTGTTTTCAAAAATTATTTATTTCAGATGAAGGGATTGATGGTGCAGTCTTCTTTACCTTAACGGATTTGGATTTAAAAGAGATGGGTTTAAAGATTGGACCCAAAAGAAAGCTCCTAAATTTAATACTTAGTAAAGGAACAAAAGTTTAATGCATAAATATAATTGATCATAATTACAATATTTAGTATTAAATATATAAATATTTTATTGTATTTTCATTATGTTGTTCTGCAGGAATTGGAGGTTGATAAAGAGACTGGAATTCTTAAAATCGTTGGTGGTTCTACTGAAGCAAGTAGAGAAAATGTGAATGAAAATCCATCCGAACGCTCTCAACCTAATAATATTCATTTAGGCGTTCCAAATGACCGCATTACCTCTGCGTCCTCATCATCGTCGCAATACCCAGTAGGTTCTTGATGGAATATTTAATTCATTTTTTGTTTTATTTTTTGGAACACATAAACATGTTTCTGAATTTGTGTCAAATTCTAAACTTTCTCAGGCCTTAAAGTCAGTGAGAGACATTTTAGTACACAATGTTCAAGGAGAAGAACTCGTTATAAAACTCGACAATAATAATTTCACGGAAAAAGATAGACTACCATTCGTAAGGATATTAGTCGCCGAACTAATTAATGTTTACGATACACAGTAAGTTCAGTTTGATAAATTGAATTTTAATGTAATATATGACAAAGTTTTACAATAATTTCACAAATTATTTTAACTTTTATTTACTTAAATGCGAACACTTTTTGATAAATGGTAATTTTTATTGTCACTTTAGTTATCCACCAGAGGAAGCAAAGTGGGCTTTAGCAAAGGCTATTGTGACTGAATTTCCTAAATTGAGAGACAGTAACAGTGAACATGGATGTGTAAGTAATTTCTTGTTTTACTGACAAGTTTTTAATTTAAATATATAAATAGTAATAATATAAATTATGAAAGAAAAAAATTATGAGCTTATGAATTACTTTTTTTAAGGACAGAAATATTTATTTTTTAGGAACATTATTATGATTTGCAAACAAGAACTGGTTTCATAGAAACCAGATTGATAAACTCGAGGACAATGCTGCCAAAAAATAAAAAAAAATACAAAAAGTATACAACTCAAACTGACACAGAGACATGGGATAAGAGTCCACTTTTATGTGAAGAAGATTTGAAAACAAAGGTTTGTTTTAATGAGAAAAGAATTTTATTAGTGCATGTTAAATAATATTTTTGCTTATATTCAATCGAATTAAAATGTAGCTGAATTTTAATCAATTTTTATATCTCAATAATTAAAATTTTCAATCATTTCTAT